ACAGGTGTGAGCCACCGCACCTGGCCCCCCGATTTAGTACTAAAACTTTCGAAAACACACAAAGCTGCAAGACTAACATAACGAGTGCCCACCTCCTCCACCCAATGCAACAACCCCGACCCCATTTGCTTCTCTCCATGGTCAACCAGCACATGCGTGCACGTTCCACAGAGCTATCTGCAAGTTCACAGGAGTCACCAGGACATTTGGCCTGTCCCCATCACAGTGCACTGGCTCTGGGAAGAGGAGGTTCTCCTGTGTAATTACACGCCATCACCACACCTACATCTAAACACAACTGACAGAGCACTGGAGGCTCGAGCAGAGGGGGGCTGCTGTTTTCCTGCCGGAAGCCTACAGCTCAGAGATGCTCAGAGATGCTGAGGCTGAGGGGTGCTGCGTACAGGTGTGATGCTGAGAGAATGGCGGGTGGGGCTGTGCCAGGCTCAGGAATCAGGACTGATTCCTCAGAGGCAGTGAGCTGGGATGGAACTTTGCAGAACAGGTGTGAGTTAGGTAATGGGGGAGGGGAGGGCATGTATGAGAACGCCACCTGGGTTTAAAGCAAGACACAACTGCATCACAGCTCCTAGGCTAGTTCTTACTTAAGAGTTCCATACCTTGTACTTTAAAAAGCATCCATCTAGGCTGGGTGTGGTGGCTCACTCCTGTAATCCCAGCACTTTGGGAGGCTGAGGCAGGCAGATCACTTGAGGTTAGGAGTTCAAGATCAGCCTGGTCAACCTGGTGAAACCCTGCCTCCACTAAAAATATAAAAATCAGTGGGGTGTGGTGGGGCAGGCACCTGTGATCCCAGCTACTCGGGAGGCTGAGTCAGGAGAATAACTTCAACCTGGGAGGTGGAGGTTGCAGCGAGCCGAGATCACGCCACAGCACTCCAGCTTGAGCAACAAGAGCAAAACTCTGTCTCAAAAAAAAAAAAGCATCTATCCATCCATCCACTCACCCACCCACATACCAACAATATATTTGGGGGTAATATTTTAGCCTGATTTAGAAAACAGAAGCTTAAGATGTTTGATGGTTTTAAACTTTCAATTTTTCCAGTTTTTAAAACCAGTACTTTTTTTCGGGAGTTCAAAATCAGCTGGGCCGTGGTGGCAGGTGCCTGTAATCTCGATAGCCGGATCACAGGTGCCTGCCACCACGCCCAGCTGATTTTTCTATTTTAGTAGAGGCAGGGTTTCACTATGTTGACCAGGCTGGTCTTGAACTCCTGACCTCAGGGAAAAAAAAAATCTAAAAATTAAGAATGAGTGGGGTACAGTGGCTCATGCCTGTAATCCCAGCACTTTGGGAGGCTGAGGTGGGCAGATTATGAGGTTGGGAGTTTAAGACCAGCCTGGTCAATGTTTTGAAACTCTGTCTCTACTAAAAATAGAAAAATTAGCTGGGGGTAGTGGTACACGCCTGTGGTTCCAGCTACTTGGAGGCTGAGGCAGGAAAATCACTTGAACCTGGGAGGTGGAGGTTGCAGTGAGCCAAGATTGTGCTACTGCACTCCAGCCTGGGTGACAGAGCAAGACTCTGTCTTAAAAAAAAAAAAAAAAAAGAATTAGTTTGCCTATGTATATGGGTCTGGAAAAAATTCTGGATGTACTCTATGCTGATCAAGTCCTCCAAGAAGCAGAAAGCCAAGATGGGTGCAAGAATGTTGAGAGACACAGATGAGGGTGAGTAGGGGGCTGGGCCTGCAGCTGAAGGCCAAGGGGGTCCTGGTGCTGAACTCCTTGATCGGAGGTATGGCAGGCTGCCCCGGCGGCCTTCATGCTCTGTTCTTGGCAGGGACGTGAAGGCTTCTGTGACATGTGGAGCAGCACTCAAGCCCCTGGCAGCTGCACGGCCCCCTTGGCTCTGGTGTCCCCACCTGGAATTCTCTTCCTCTTTGCCTTGTCACATGCTTTATTCAAAACAGCACATCGTGAGTTTGCTGGTCCCCGTCTTCTCTTCGAAGTGTAAAGTTACCTATATTGATAGCTAATTTTTCACTTGGGGAAGAAGTTTGAGTTTTCAGGCCTCCCCACAACTGCCAGTCTCTCCTTGGCATGCCAACACCCTGTGCTACGGCCAGGCCTCTGTGGTGCTAGTCTTTTGTACAAAGTGCTCACACTGAAAGTCTTGAAAAGCACTATTTTCTCTGTAGGCCAGGATTGATGAAAAAAAACCCACAAAACCCAAAGTATCATTTTCCTTTCCCAGTTCCTAATGTGAAAACTCACGGAAATGCATAAAGTGAAAATAACCTGAATGTTTGTAACAGAAGAGACAACACCAAGGCGGCTCCTTCCGTTAACCCGGCTCAGCCTGGCCTCATTCACTGTGGTGTCCGTGCTCCAGAGCGTCTCACTCTTCTCTCACTTGTCTTCTTGCCTTAGTTTTGTCTTTTCAAAACCATCTATCTTAAAAGGCTCATCTTGGAGGACCCTCACTCTTGTGGACTCTTCTAGCCACTCAGACTTGTGCCCATGTGTTTCCGAAAGCCTGCTGCACACGTCACCTGGCCCTTCAGTCAGCTGTAAAGTGGTGCTGTGCCACGGTCACCCTCTTCCACTGTGTGGCCTGCTCCCTGGGCACCGGGAGGTCCTGCTCATTTTGTGTCTATTTTCACTTTGTTCATGATGAGTGCACAATAAATATCCGCTCAGTGATGCAAAAGGACAGGTGGCTAGCACGTCCAACAGAGGCAGGCAGGCTGGGCGGGCCGGCGGGGGACAGCCTTCGAAAGAGGTGATAAGCCGCGGCTGGCTTGAAGGGTTAAGGAAATTGGGGAAAGGAAGTGGAAAGAGGCTCTGACAATGGCCGTCCTCTTGCACAGGAATTTGGCAGTGACACAAGTCAGAGGCATTATTTGAAAGGGTAAAGGGAGACAGATTTACACCATGTGAGGAATCAAGCGCCTCAGCACCAAGAGCTCTCAGAGCTGAGGCTCCGATCACCTGCTGTCTCTCAATAGTGACACTCAGATGTGGAAAAGAAGGTTTTATGAACTTGGAAGCACATTGAACATGAAGACAAGATGGCTTTACAGAGACGCCAGATGACTGGTCTCATTGAGAAAAAGTATTCGGCAGAGGGGACAAGACGTGCAAGGTACTCTACAGAATTCCAGTTGTAGCGCTGTACTTGAAGGGTAATTAAAGTAAAAACTTGGATTTTACCTTTAAATTGCATGAGAAGCACACTGTGGCCAGCTACGCATGGAACTTCTCCTTTCCAAAACAAACATGGAAACCATTCAAATCAGCTCTCCCTGAGCCCCACATACCTGGAAGTGTGGGCTGGAGACACACTTGGCCAACTGCCGGAAGAGGGGCTCCATGATCTTCACAAATTCTGATGGCTCAATTACATCCAAAATCTCTTCTAATTCATTTAAGAACATTACTTCTTTTGGACTGTGAGTCTTTGGCCAGTATTTGAGAAGTGCCATCACCACCTACAAAAGAAATGACACATGGAGTGCCTGACGCCCACAAGGCCCCCACACCTGCAAGGCAAGCCATCTGTGTTTCCACTGAGGTGGCACCACTGCCAAGCAACCCGGGAAGATGGTGCCACCTTCCTTAAAGAAGGAACAGGGACTCAGTAATTGTACGTGATTGTCTGTAGTTAGAGAAATAGGCCTGTCTGTCTGGTTATCTAACCATCTGATCAATCAATGTATTTAGAGATGGGTCACACTATGTTGTCCAGGCTGGGCTTGAATTCCTGGGTTCAAGGTATCCTCCTGCTTCAGGATCTGAGTAGCTGGGACAAGCATGCACCACCTGCCTTGGCTTAACTTCACATACTTCAGAAATTACACAATTTTAATTTATATAACACCTCTCTCTGATCAAACACCATTTCAGTGAGAGTCCTTTCCTTTTTGTAAAAAAAAGAAACAACAATGAGCAGTTAGGATAATTTAGAAAGAGGAAGATCAATGGAGAAAACACAGCATATCAATTCACACGCACGTTTCCGTGTGGAAGTAGCTGGTACTGAAACTGTCCGCCACACACACAATCCATTTCCTTCTCAGATTTACCGACCATCCATATGCACCTGCAGGTGCCGTGCTGGGACCCCGGGCAGGGCATGCCGTGGTGTCTGTGCGCACACTGCCTGAGCAGTGCTGGGCCTGCAGTGAGCAGGCGGCAGTGGGAGCTGTAGCCAGGACGGCCACCACCCAGGGGGTCTGTGCTACCAGCTCTCTGCCAGGCACAGCCCGTCGGGCTGCAGGGGTTTCCCAGCTTGTGGATAGTGGATGGTTTATGCTCCTAGGCCAAGTCAGACAGCTAGAAGGGATTTCCACGGGGCAACCTTTCCAAATGTCCTCCCACAATCACACCAGTACAAAATACTCAATCGGACTCAATGCAGATTGAGTAATATTTTTCAGAGTTTAGCCGTCTTAGTTCTAAAACAGTACCACAATCTAAAACAGGTATTTACATATAAAGTGCATACGTATCTGCTGGCACACACATTGTACAAGTGTAATCCGTTTCGTTAAAGTGGCTGTGTGGCCTAGTCACGGCAACGTCGTGAAGCTTCCGCCCCAGCTCCTGTGCTGTGGAATTGCAGCAAATGCTGGCCCTTGGGACCACCTGGTCGTTTTCACTCACTAGTGATTTCTGGCTCAGTAGATCACACCAACTCATGCTCAGCAGGCCAGTCTGGTAATCATTTCAGTGATTTTTAAAAAAGGTAGACATTTAACTTCCATTTAGAAAAATTTTGTTTTGACGCTTTGGCATTTGGGCTCCCAGAGAATCTTTTATGATATTACACTTTATAAAACTCCAAAATTTACTAAAAAAAGGAAGTAAGGCTGGGTGTGGTGGCTCACACATGTAATCTCAGCACTTGGGAGGTCGAGGTGGGAGGACTGCTTGAGCCCAGGAGTTTGAGACCAGCTTGGGCACCCTGGTGAGGCCCCATCTCTACAGAAAATCTAAAAATCAGCCTGGTGTGGTGATGTGCACCTGTGGTCCCAGCTACTCGAGAGACTGAGGTGGGAGGACTGCTTGAGCCCAGGAAGTTGAGGCCAGCTTGGGCACCCTGGTGAGGCCCCACCTCTACAGAAAATCGAGAGACTGAGGTGGGAGGGCTGCTTGAGCCCAGGAAGTTGAGGCTGCAGTAAACCGTGACTGCACCACTAGACCTCAAGATTCAAACGAGCAAACAAGAGCCCCCCCAAAAGCCAAATAAAAAGGAAGTGCTGAGAGTTTTGAGTCTGACATAAAAATCTACCACATAAGTGTCTTAAAAAGGAATTATTTCTAAACACGCATCATTTAATGATCCTCCTAGCTCAAAACTACTTAATAAGTACTTACTGCGGTCCTCGTACACTCTATTGGAGCCACTATTAAGGACACAGCAGATGCAAATCACTTCCTACGTCTATTTCTCTTCATTTGTCAAACGGAATTTTATTAGAAGTACGTTAATCTTTGAACTGGACAAAAAAAATCGATTTAGCGATTCCATTCCTCTGGAAAAGGTGTCATTTCTGGGATCAGAGTCACACACGGGCCTTCCTTTTCACACTGTCTGGAATGAGCTGTGACCAGCAGCTCCCGTGTGGCCGTGTTTTGCGGAGGAGAGTGCCTGCTCAGGGAATGCTAATCCGAGGCGACAACGGCTGTGTGCTGCGGGGTGCCGGGCGCTGCACGAGGCCCAGAGTTTTCCTTTGGAAGCCCAAGGACTGCCCGCTCCCTGGAGAGGGCAGGCGAGCCAGTGGCCCAGCCTTGAGTTTTGGGGAGCCCCCATCCTGTCCTGGCAGACCAAGGAGAAAGAAGAGTTGCTACCATGCCAGGAAGTAAAACAGGATGAGCCTAAAGAGGCAGGTGGGTGAACACGGAACAGTTTTACTGCTGTAAAATCTCTGATGAGGTTCTGTTCTTACAACAGAGAAAGAGCTTCACGTGCCCAGAAAGCCTGTGAGCACTGTACACAATCAGCAGACGAAAAACACCGATGACAGACTGCTAGTGGTGCAGCACGGGGCCTTCAGATCTCAGACTTTTAAGTGGATCTTACCTAAACGTTCCTGAGCCTGGACATGTGATGGCTTTGGGGTCCCTTCGGTGCAGGCCTGTGAGATGGACGTGGACACCAGGTGTCCTTAGTGCTACTGCGCAGACACACACCTGCACAAAAGCCTATACTTCGATCTTATCAACAAGCTTTCAATGCTGAAGCAAGGCAAAACGGCCTTTGTGTTTTCATAAAGTAGGCATTTCAAAAGAGGAAATTTACTGCAATGAGGGTCTGAATGTTTTTAACACGTAGGAAATTAAATCTACTTTCTAAAGCCAGGACAGGACCGCACATTATCCGTGCAGCAGAAGCTAAGCTAAGTGTTCCGGGTGGGAACATCGGGGCCTGGGTTGGCAGGGTTTGCACTGGTGCCACGTCAGAGTCCTGCCTGTAACGTTCAGGCTGGAAGGACCTCACTGAAGCCGGCACCCAGTCTCTTGCCCTCTTTTAGACAACGGAAATTAATAGCTCTCACTCTTGCACAGTTATATTCACTTTATTTACGACATTAGTGGGAATTAAAAACACTTACGGATGTTCTCTGCTTTTATGTTACTTAGAAGAGAGTAGGGTGGGGCTCATTCACTAGCTCTCAGTGGAGGAGGAGTAGGGTTCAGGCTGACAGTAGATGGCGGGATGGAGATGCTAGGAGCTTAGGTGGGGGCAGCCTTTGTGGTAAATGCAACGTGGCATTTGGTGAATTCTTTGGGATTTTTTGTATGAGAAATTACAAAAGAAAGAAAAGTTACGAAAGAAAAGCACAAAGAAAAATTACAAAAGAAAACTTTGCATACTTTTTTTTTTGATATGGAGTTTTGCTCTGTTGCCCAGGCTGGAATGCAATGGCGCGATCTTGGCTCACTGCAACTTCCGCCTCCTAGGTTTAAGCAATTCTCCTGCCTCAGCCTCCCGAGTAGCTGGGATTATAGGCATGTGCCATCATGCCCGGCTAATTTTGTATTTTTAGTAGAGATGGGGTTTCTCCATGTTGGTTAGGCTGGTCTTGAACTCCTGACCTCAGATGATCCACCCGCCTTGGCCTCCCAAAGTGCTGGGATTACAGGCGTGAGTTACTGTGCCTGGCCCTGCATACTTTATTTGAGGCAGGGTCTTGCTCTGCCACTCAGGACAGAGTGCAGTTGGTATGTTCAAAGCTCACTCTAGCCTTGACCTCCTGGGCTCAAGCAATCTTTCCACTTTAGCCTCTTCAGTAGCTGGGACCACAGGTACATGTCACCATGCCCAGCTAATTAAAAAAAATTTTTTTTTTCCTTAGGAGAGAGGAGGTCTCACTATGTTGCTCAGGCTGGTCGCAAACTCCTGGCCTCAAGGGATCCTCCTGCCTTGGCCTCCCAAAGTGCTGGCATTAGGAGGATGTGCCACCTTGCTCAGCTCTTTTTTTTTTTTTTTTTGAATAGGAAAAGGTGGGAGTAAAGAGGAGAGACAATTCTTTTTTTTAACATATTACTTTCTCAAGTAAAACCTCTGTGATAGTTAAAACTGAGTGTCAACTTGATTGGAGTGAAGGACGCAGAGCATTGACCCTGGGTGTGTCTGTGAGGGTGTTCCCAAAGGAGACTCACAGTTGAGTCAGTGGCTGGAAAGGCAGAGCCACCCTCGATCTGGGTGGGCACCATCTAATCAGCTGCCAGCAAGGCCAGAATAAAAGCACACAAAACAACATGGAAGGACTAGATGGGCTTAGCCTCCCAGCCTCCATCTTTCTCCCATGCTGGATGCTTCCTGCCCTCGAACATTGGACTCCAAATTCCTCAGCTTTGGGACTCGGACTGGCTTCCTTGCTCCTCAGTCTGCATACGGTCAATTGTGGGATCTTGTAATCATGTGAGTTAATACTCCTTAATAAACTCTCCTTTATATATCTATCCTATTAGCTCTGGCCCTGTAGAAAACCCTAACACAACGTCCTCGCCGGGTGCAGTGGCTTACAACTGTAACTGCAGCACTTTGGGAGGTCAAGGTGTCACCTGAGGTCAGAAGTTTGAGACCAGTCTGGCCAGGATGGCAAAGCCATGTCTCTACTAAAAATACAAAAATTAGCCAGTTGTGGTGCTATGAGCCTATAGTCCTAGCTACTTGGGAGGCTAAGGCAGAAAACTTGCTTGAACACAGGAGGTGGAGGTTGTAGTGAGCCAAGATCATGCCACTGCACTCTAGCCTGGGTGACGGAGTGAGATCCTGTCTCAAAAAAACAAAAAGACCCCAAAAACAACAACAAAAACCAACCTCTCACGCTTCGGTTTGGAGAAGACCTTAAATACAGGCAGAAGAGGAGTTAAGGCATGTAACCGCTGTAAAAAACACAGTTAAAAAAAAATCCCAGCCGGGAGCGGTGGCTCAGCCTGTAATCCCAGCACTTTGGGAGGCCGAGGCGGGTGGATCACGAGGTCAAGAGATTGAGACCATCCTGGTCAACATGGTGAAACCCCGTCTCTGCTAAAAATACAAAAATTAGCTGGGCATGGTGGCGCGTGCCTGTAATCCCAGCTACTCAGGAGGCTGAGGCAGGAGAATTGCCTGAACCCAGGAGGCGGAGGTTGTGGTGAGCCGAGATCGCGCCATTGCACTCCAGCCTGGGTAACAAGAGCGAAACTCCATCTCAAAAAAAAAAAAAAATCCCTAATCAGTTTTATTAACACCATCTCATTTTTCTTTTTCTTACCTAGACATGTCTTCAGTCAGTTAAGGAGAATAAAAAGAACACCTCCTCACCCTAAACCTTGACTGTGCTTGATGCTGAAGTGTGATGAGATTTGGTACATTTCCTTGGGAACTCCCCTAAATCTCAGGCAGAGGCTTCTGAGGGCTGGAAGGGGAGCGTGCAGGGACGCGTCGCTCCACTAGGGCCTGGCAGGGCAGGGTGGGCCCAGCTCACAGCTCTGTAGCCCCTGCTGCCTCTGCAGCCGCAGGACAAGAGCTCTTCTTGAATTTTGTGGGTGAAACGGAGGGAAACTATACATAGAATTTAAAAGCTTCAAGAAAGCAGAGACACAAGCCAGCTTAACTCAGAAATTCAATGTTAAGAATTTCTCATGTAATTTCACTATAAAAATTACAATGTCACAAGAGAACTGTGAAAGACAGAAAGGGCCCAGGAGTGACAAGACCTACATTTTCTAGTCTTAACTGTGACTTTTAAAAGAGCATTCAAACATTTGAATTGGCTCCTAACATTCCTTGACACTCAAAAAAAAAAAAAAAAAAAAAAAAAAAAAAAACCCAATTTAAAAAATGGGCAATGGATTTAAATGGACATGCCTGCAAAGAAGATATATATATATATGTATATATATATGTTTTGAGACAGGGTTTTACTCTGTTGCCCAGGCACACACCATCATGCCTGGCTAATTTTTGTATTTTTTGAGAAGATGGGGATTTGCCATGTTGCCCAGGCTGCTCTCCAACACTTGGGCTCAAGCGATTCTCCCATCTCAGCCTCCCAAGTGTTGGGACTACAGGCGTGAGCCACCACACCTGGTCAAGAAGATAAACAAATTTTGGTCAGTAAGCACTGACAAGATGCTCAACATTCTTAGTCATTAGTGAACTGCAAATCAAAACCACACAAGATACTGCATCCACCCACTAGGATGGCTATAATGAAGCCAACAGGTTGGGCGTGGTGGCTCACACCTGTAAATCCTAGCGTGAGGGAGGCTGAGGCAGGTAGATCACCTGAGGTCAGGAGTTTGAGACCAGCCTGGCCAACATGGTGAAACTGTCTCTACTAAAAATACAAAAATTAGCCAGCAGTGGTGGCGGACACCTGTCACTCCAGCTACTCAGGAGGCTGAGGTAGGGGAATCGCTTGAACCCAGGAGGTGGAGGTTGCGGTGAGCCAAGATGGTGTCATTGCACTCCAGCCTGGGCGATAGAGTGAGGCTTCATGTCAAAAAATAAAAAGTAAACAACAGCAGCAGCAGGAGCAGCAAGCACTGTAAGGGTGCGGGAAACGGGAGCCTTTGTGCACCGCTGCGGGGAATGTAAACAGGGCAGTCGCTGTGGAACACAGCATGCTGGTTCGTCCAACAGCTAAACATGCAATTACCATGTGATTCAGCAATTCCACTTCTGGATATATATCCAAGGAATTGAAAACAGGATCTATAACAAATACTTGTGCACCAGTATACAAATAGCCACATTATACGCAATAGCTAAAAAGTGGGAACAACCCAAGGGTACACTGAAAAAACGGCGGATGAACACAATGTGCTGTATCCACACAGTAGACCAGCGCTCAGCCGTGATGAGTGAAGCTCTGACACAGCACGAGGAAGAACCCTGGAAGACATGACGCTGCGTGAAACAAGCCCGCTGCAAACGGACGAGCGTTTTAGATCACCTGGAGCAGTCAAATTCAGAGGTAAAGCAGACTACAGGTTAGGGAGGCCTGGAGGTTAGCAGGGGCCAGAGCGAGGGGGAGTGGGGAGTTGCTGTTTAATGGGCAGAATTTCTGTTTGGGATGATGAGAAAGCTTTGGAAATAGTGTGATGGGTGCACGTCATGAAGGTAATTAACGCTGGTGAACTGTACATTAACACGGTTAAAATCACACATTTTATATGTATTTTATCACAATTAAAAAAAATTCAAAATGTAACATACCAAAAATCTTTGAATTGTACTATTTAAATGGGTGAATTGTACGGTATGTGAATTATATCCCAATACAGTTGCTTCAAAAAATATATTTAAATGTTTAAACTGGCACCTGACATGTCTGGCTTTGTTAACGATGGCTAGGATAGCCTTTTTATTTTTAATTTTTATTTATTTACTTCTTTGAGACGGAGATTCACTCTTGTTGCCCAGGCTGTAGTGCAATGGTGCAATCTTGGCTCACCGCAACCTCTGCCTCCCAGGTTCAAGTGATTCTCCTGCCTCAGCCTCCCGAGTAGCTGGGATTACAGGCCTGCGCCACCACGTCCAGCTAATTCTGTATTTGTAGTAGAGACAGGGTTTCTCCGTGTTGGTCAGGCTGCTCTTGAACTCCCGATCTCAGGTGATCCACCTGCCTTGGTCTCGCAAAGTGCTGGGATTATAGGCGTGAGCCACTGCACCCAGACTGGTAGCCTCTTTATTTTTAATAAACATAGAATGTTAAGAAAATTACAAATCCTCTCACATAATTATGGAGGCTGAAAAAAAAATGACAAATCTACGCACTGAAAAGCAGTCATCTAATGTTGACTTGTGATTCAATGATCATAAAACAGTTACAGTGTAACCTGGAAAGTATTTTCAAGATGGTAAAACCTCTTCCTTACAACAAGAATTTCAAACCCTAACTATAATCCCTCTGGCCATAATCAGTTTGATGTGTTGTCAAAGCAAGCAGACGTGAAACTGCGGAACTGCACACTAACGTTCAGTGGCTGCGACCGCCCACGTGCTTTACATTTAAGAGCGACGAGCAATGAGGGGCGAGGCGGCAATCTCATTGCATAAAATAACCACTGCAATACAGGAACCTACAATTAAAGTTCTTTTACTTTGAAAACCTGTAACCCCTGAATGAAATCAACCTGTTTATTAGTATTGCAATTTAAGATGAAAAAGTCTGAATGGCAATTTGGTGAAGCAGGTGTTGCAATATCTACATTTGGTGAAATACACGCATCTCACGATCCGAGCTAGCGGCGGCACTTACTGGTTCTGTGAGGGTGCTGTCCTTCTCTAAAAACTGCACCACGCAGTAGGCCAGCTAAGAAGTAAAAGGAGAAAGAGCATGAACATTTCAACATAGAAATGCTGCTGTGCTTCTTCTAGAATCTTCATTAAACACCTTCCTACTGCAAGACAAGGACCCACAGTACAGACAAAGCCGCTGTTTAATTCTGATGTTGCCCCCAGGGTGTGCCACCCCAACCGCCCGACAGGCCCCACAGGAAGCTCTGAGTGGGACTTTCAGGGAAGGACCCCGGGAGCAATGACCAACAGATAAATCTTTCCCCATTAATTGGTGATAGATCAGAAAGGTGAAACATAAAAATAAGAAAAATAAATCAGAAAACAGTCTTTCTAGTGTAACTATCACTAAGTCAATCCAGTATGATGGGGATTTTCTTGTGGTCCTTGAGATTATAATCCACAAGTAATCTATCAGCAGGGAAAACAAATTACAATCTGGTTCCATCTCAAATCTCTGAACTATTAATTTCTTTTGTGCAACAATAAATATAATAATCTGACTGGATGCAAAGATATTACCAGTTAAGAGCAGTCAGGGAAAATAAATATTTACTAGGAAGAATCAATTAAAGAATGTACTTTTTGGCTGGGCACGGTGGCTCATGCCTGTAATCCCAGCACACTGGTAGGCTGAGGCGGGCGGATCATGAGGGCAGGAGTTCAAGACCAGACTACTGCCCAACATGGTAAAACCCTGTCTCTACTAAAAAATACAAAAATTAGCTGAACATGGTGGCTCGTGCCTATAATCCCAGCTACTAGGGAGGCTGGGGTAGGAGAATTGCTTGAACCGGGAGCCAGGAGGCGGAGGTTGCAGTGAGCTGAGATGGTGCCACTGCACTCCAGCCTGGGCTACAGAGCGAGACTCCATCTCAAAAAAAAAAAAAAAGTACTTTTTGTCATTTAGCCCCTACCACAAGCTCTCAAAGTGGGGTGTGGCAGAAAGGAGTCTTGTGCCCTCCTAGCCCTGTGCTGGGGTGTGACTGCTCAGTGCCTGGCCCAGTGACAGCTGAAAGTGAACGAAGACACTGACTGCAGCCAAAGGGTGAAAGAAAACCAAATCCAGGTGAATGCGGCCCATTAACCCCTTCCTGCCAATTTTCCGGCACAGCTGTACTTACACTGCTATAGTTTTAAACAGCCACAGTTTTATTTTTTTTTTGAGATGGAGTTTTGCTTTTTACCCAAGGTGGAGTGCAATGTCGCGATCTTGACTCACTGCAACCTCCGCCTCCCGGGTTCAACCGATTCTCCTGCCTCAGCCTCCAGAGTAGCTGGGATCACAGGCATGTGCCAGCATGCCAGCTAGTTTGTATTTTTAGCAGAGGCGGGGTTTCTCCATATTGGTCATGCTGGTCTCGAACTCCCAACCTCAGGTGATCTATCTGCCTCGACCTCCCAAAGTGCTGGGATTAGAGGCAGCTTTTATTTTTTTAAAAAACACTCTCATAGGCCATTCATTGGCCACGGACCTAAATAGGCTTTTCTATTTAAGGTTTCGATTATACTACGGAAAACTCCTCTCAGAAGTTTTCCTGGACTCCTTCCAGAGAGTTACCCCTTTCTCTATGCTTAAAACTAATTTAAAAGTTCTGTATTACAGAGGTTTTTCTGAATTTCTTAAAATGAATTTTTCTTTACCCCTTTATTCTTTCAATTGTCACCAGAAGGTCGTCACCAACGTCAGTAGTGCCATATGAAGAAGAAAGCACTCTCGGGTAAGGCTGGATTCACTACCTTGTGTCCAGTTCTGCTCAAATGCCAACAGCTGTGTTCCCGGAGCCTCCCCTGCCCCTTACCTGGGGATGGTAGACACTCAGAGATTTCACTTTGTGCAAAGGTAGTAACACCTTCAGTAAGAATATCTTGTGCTCTTCTTTTAGTGGTAAGGCAAATCCATTAATTATACTGTAAAAAGAACATTTATTCAGTTTGAACATTTACAAATTCCAGATTTTTAAACAAGTATCTTGCTGTTTTTCTTTCAATTTTTGTTTTCAGCATCAAAACCCAGCAGGCAAAATATACAGAGCCAAGCATGTTACCAGGCACTTGTGCCCCAGCTAACTTGGGAGGCGGAGGCCGGAGGAACATCTGAGCCAGGAGTTCGAGGCTGTAGTGTGCCATAATCGCACCTGTGAATAGCCACTGTTCTCTAGCCTGGGCAGTATAGTGGGATCCTATCCAGGGGTCTGTGGAATACGTCACAGAGTGCTCCAGTCCCTGCAATAGCCTAGGAGGGAAATATGATGATTCCTCCTATATATATACATACATATATGTGTGTGTGTATGTGTGTGTATCAGAAAAAAGAGGATACCAGCAAAAGTTTAAAAATATTAAATGCCTTTGAGGAAGCAGAGTTATTTTTATCTCTATAACTACATGATAATTTAAAAATTCTGGGTTTCCAGGTGTTACCCAGAACAGCAGAAGCTCCTGGTGGCAAAATCTTCCTCCCTAAACAGGCCAGGAAGACGGGACAGTTCACATGGGACCCCCAAGCCCAGCACCTTGCCTCAGCCTTATCCATTTTCAGGAATTCTTGCTGCCTAGAGTAATTCAGGGTCGTTATTTTAATATTGGTAACAGAAACCCAGTAGGTGCTGAATGAGTGTTGGTTAAAAATGAGTTAGGGCTGGGAGTGGTGGCTCACACCTGTAATCCCAGCATTTTGGGCAGCTGAGGCAGGTGGATCATCTGAGGTTAGGAGTTCAAGACCAGCCTGGCCAACATGGTGAAACCTGGTTTCTATCAAAAACATAAAATCAGCTGGGCGTGGTGGCACACGCCTGCAGTCCCAGCTATTTGGGAGGCTGAGGTGAGAGGATCGGTTGCAGTAAGCTGAGATCATGCCACTGCACTCCACCCTGGGCAACGGAGGAGACTCCATCTCAATTAAAAAAAAATCAGTTAGAAAGCTGCTCCTTGTGCAAGGAAAGGGGGTCCTACCTAGAGCCTCCAAAGCAAAGTTTTTGTCTCAAACAACTAGTTTATTGTCTCGGTTTTATAATTAGGTAAATGCACATGACTGTCACTGAGCTACAGAAGTGACATCTCTAACTTGGTCTTCTCTGCTCGGCATGGCAGGCAATGCGGGAAGGGTGAGCCTGGAGCGGCCCATCAAGGAGGGCGTGATCATTCACAGGGTCACCTGCAGGCTCAACCTCTTGTCTGGAAGAAGAAAACCAATCAAGCCGCTCGTCGGGAGCTGCACAGGAGCCCCATGCACATGGCGTGTCGGGCTGTGGAACACACATGACACAGCACTCCCGTCCCTGCAACAATCTAGGAGGCAAATGCAAGGATTCCTCCCATCTTACAGAAGTACCTGCCCATGGTCTCACAACCTGCTAGGGGCGTCCTCTTCACCACTCACCGCACTGCACTGAGAGAGAAACCCCCCCAAGTTTGTCTAAACTAATCAAAGTAGAATTCTCAATGAGGACGTTCTTTTAAATCACATCTAAAATGACAAGAGTAGCTTTTCTCAGAACTAATGGGCAGGACCTGATGCACCATGAGAAGAGAATCTTGTGCTCAGGAGCAGCAGGGAGTCATCAGTCTACCCAGTGTGCTGGGCTTCTTCACCGCAGGCTCCAGAGAAACCTGACCTGCCCATCTACACTACATCCCTAAAAAGGGGCAGGAAAAAGCACTCCCACCCTTACTAGCCATGGAACCCTGAGGAACTCTGGGAAAAAGTGGGTTAGAAGGTCTAATATAAAATCTACAGGTTATCAATTAAAAAAAAAAATGGCCAGGCATGGTGGCTCATGCCTGTAATCCTAGCACTTTTGGAGGTGAGGTGGACAGATCACTTGAGGCCAGGAGTTCGAGAACAGCCTGGCCAACATGGGGAAACCCCATTTCCACCAAAAATACAAAAATTGTCCCAGCTATTCAGGAGGCTGAGGCAGGAGAATCGTTTAAACCCGGGAAGTGTAGACTGCAGGGAGCCGAGACTGCACCACTGTACTTGAGCCTGGGCGAAAGAGCAAGAGTCTGTCTCAAAAAAAAAAAAAAGCGAGTAAAAACTTCACTTGGATAAAGATGATGAAAGTTTTGAAATGTTAATTATTTTATAAGTATACATATAAAAAAAAGAAAGTAATTGAAAATATTAGCATTGACACAGTATCCCTAATGTACAATCTATTCTTCTTCCAAGCTTCTAATATAAACCTTCTTATGTAACTATTTTTAACATTGCTCTTGAGGAAATAACTGGAATTGTGTTTCCATAGTAATGATACTGAGGTCTATGAAGTAGAATCTACGTACAGAACCATAAAAACGGGAGGGATCTGTCATCTGGTATGTTCTCATCTAAACTCACTGATGCCTTCTTTAAGTGAAATTTTATTTAAATATTCTTAGAGTGGTTTAAATTGCCTTGCTTTAAAGAGGCAGCTGAACTCAATGAAATGGGTCACTCGGTGTAAATTCCATCTACCGCTATTTGCTACCTGTAACACAACAGAGGCTTACCTTCCCAATATTTCCAGTAATTCTGCTATGCCATTATGATGCTCTGTTTCATAAATAAACCTAGAAAAAACCAATTTTCCGATTAGAATTAAGACACTGAGCCAACCTGAATAAGAAAACAACACTGTAGGAGGAGCCTCGGAGCCAGGCAACAAGAAGCGCGTCTGTTTGTGCAAACGCGGCTCATGGTGAGCAAGCCCTTCAGGAATCAGGGAAACTCCTCGAGGCCTGGAGGTGTACATGCCTTGAGGGCAGAGAGCTCAGTCTTGCACACACATTTTCCTCAATATTTTATTTTGAAAGGTTTCGAGCATCTAGGAAAACTGAAGGAGTTCTACAGTGAACAGCCATTTCCACTGCCCGGATTCGACCGTGAGCAGTGTGCGCCACCTGCTTGGCCACATACACACCTCTTCATCCATCCTTTACTTGTTCATTGACCCACCTTACATTTTTGCCATATTTCAACATAAGTCGACCTCGTACTTAGCTGTAAAGCCCACAGTATTTAGCGCAGTTCCTGCAAAGGGCAGAAGTGATTCCTGAACACCTCGTGGTCTACCTGCCTAGCTCCCCACTTACACCCACACACACTCTCTGTACTGCCTCAGGTGTGATCTTTCTGAAGCACCCATCTGCGACAGACCCAGCTCCCTTCCTCTGAGACGTCTCTGTCCACTGCGCCTGCTTCTAGTGGACCCCCAAGAAATGCACCCCACCGTCTGTGTCAGCCTGTCTCCCTCCAGATGGGGCCACTGTGAGGACAGGGCCCAGGACTTCTCATGACTATGTTCCCAGGGCTAGGAGCAAGTCTGGCATCTGTTTGATGACGAAAACACATCTGCTGAATAAACCAGGGACAAGGAAAGGGAACAGTGACATGTTAGGAAACGGGAAAGTGTCCCCACAAAGGGGTCCCCCAGAAACAAAGAAGCCTCACGCACCTGGGGTTGGTCTAGAGCAAACCACGAGGACTATCCTGCAGGAGGCGAGAGGCTCTGACAGATCCCCGCCCAGCAGATGAAAACCATTTGTTTAGAGTCAGCTCGAAGCCAAAAGTAAGTTTGAGCAGATTAAAAAATTCAATTTTGAAATTTCACTCACTTTGTTTGAAACAAATGAAGTAGTATGACTTTAAAGAGGCCAAACATCCACAGATGTGAAATATTTTTGAAGAGTGAGTCTTAACGTATCTATTTCCAAATGATCAGAATTCACCGAGAGGCTGGTGCTTGAAATGCGTCCTGAAGGAGGATTTCAAGGCAGATTTTTTTTTTTTTTTTTTTGAGATGGAGTTTCACTCTTGTTGCCCAGGCTGGAGTGTAATGGCGCAATCTCGGCTCACTGCAACCTCCGTCTCCTGGGTTCAAGTGATTCTCCTGCCTTAGCTTACCGAGTAGCTGGGATTACAGGCATCTGCTACCATGACTGGCTAATTTTGTATTTTTAGTAGAGACGGGTTTCTCCATGTTGGTCAAGCTGGTCTCGAACTCCCAACCTCAAGTGATCCGCCCACCTTGGCCTCCCAAAGTGCTGGGATTATAGGTGTGAGCCACCGTGCCTGGCCTTAACAGACTTTTTTTTGTTTTTCTTTTTTAATGGCACTGTGGAGAGGGAGAACTCCTTTGGCTGGAACAAAGATCGGTGACATGGAGTGAGGTGGGCAAGATGCGTGGAGAGGCTGGAAGGCCAGCTTACAAAAAACAAAATCTGGCTGGGCACAGTGGCTCACACCCATAATCCCAGCACTTTGGGAGGCCAAGGCAGGTGGATCACCTGAGGTCAGGAGTTCGAAACCAGCCTGGCCAACATGGCAAAACTCCATCTCTACTAAAAATATAAAAATTAAACAAAAAAATTACAAAAATGAACAAAAAAAAAAAAGAAAAAGAAAAAATATAAAAATCAGCTGTGGCGTGGTGGTGCATGCCTGGAGCCCCACACACTTGGGAGGCTGAGGTGGGAGGATCACTTGAACCCGGAAAGTGGAGGCTACAATGAGCTGAGATGGTGCCACTGCACTCCAGCCTGGGCAACAGAGTGAGACCCTGTCTCAAAACAAAAAAACAAAAAACCAAGATCTGTTTTTGCAGGTGCCAGGACGCAGAACCTTTGGCAGCCAGACATATTAGCACTACGATGCGTGTGGCCACAGCCTGAGAGTGAGGCAGGGACGTTACTGGGGCAGAGCCTGGAGCCATGGGTGACAGGAACGACAGTGGTGCCGGGACCAGAAAGTACTCTCACTCGGTGTCCCTGAGCCTGCACCTACCTGAGGCTTGGAAGCTGCGACCAAGCAGAAGTCCATGTGTGTCTACACTGAGAGGCGCTTTAATTTACGAAACTCACCCTGCAGGCTCCCTGTGCAGACGGTGCTGCCATGGGGCTTGTTTACTCCCCCTCTAGCAAGCACCTTGTAGAGCTGTGCTCTGGGCCCTCAGAGACAAAGACCTCTGAACCCCTCTGATCTAGCTCCATCAGCTTTAACATTTACAACGGTGGCCTGTAGCTGTAAGCCATTTTGTTTCCCTAAATCAACATGACTACATTCTTACTGATAAATTCTTGATTTGTAATTTCTTACACCTGCTTTGAAGTAGGTAGAAGAAAGAGAAAATAAGGACAGCTCCTCTCCTTCTTCCCTGTCCTGTGGAAGACAGACAGTGACAATGGGAGGGAAACAGAGAACCCTGGGAGCCGGCGAGAACGTTTCTCACTCAGCAGAAAGGGAATCAGAACCCCAGACACTGAGCTGGCACCTGCTGGCTGCAGAAGTCTCCAGAATGAATTCCTCAATGCCTTTCCTGCTTGTATGATGTGTTCTGGCCTTGCGGGAAGAGGTGGACTCTATTTCTCCTTCCTCTGAAGCTGGGCTGTCCTTGCGCTCTGCTTTGACCAATACAAAGGGCAGATGTCACTCTGCGCTGGTTCCAAGCCAAACCCTTAGCACTGGGGTTCCTGCCTCTCCCCTCTTGGATGGGGCCGTGGCTGTAGGAACTCCCATAACCTGGAGGAGCTCCAGCACAGCACAGAAGGGGAGTGGGGACCTGCTCAGCAGCCCCTGTGAACACTCCAGCCCCAGCACACGCCACGGAGCAGAACCGTCTGGATGAGCCCAGTGCAGGTGACAGCATCAGGAGGGATGATGGACCATGGCTGATGGAAGCCAGCGAGCTGGGAGTGGCTCCTGACTCCAGGATGGCGTGAGGTAGTGATACATCCTGGCGATGATGGGGACAGTATGACAGCATCTCTCTGTGAGATAAGAGCATGAGCAGGTGCTGCACAGCCTCACTGCAGGGCCAGAATGAGGGCGAAGCATGGGCCATGCTCTTGTTAAGCAACAAGAGAAGGAACTGCACACTGCCTTCCCCACCCAGCCTCCAGGTCCCACCGTGTGCCAGCAGGCATCATGGGTAATAGACAGCACCGTTTAACTCACCCTTAAGCTGATGAGAATGAGAAACTAGAGAAATAAATAGCAATCTTGTATTTATATCTTCAGTGAAACTGAACCAAATATGTTCAAAATGTCTTTTTCTTACAAGACATAGCTGTACTATATTGAACTTAGATGAGCTGGCTGGGTATGTGGCTCACACCTGTAATCCCAGTACTTTGAGCGGTTGAGGCAGGAGGATCACTTGAGGCCAGGAGTTCGAGATCAGCCTCGGCAACACAGTGAGATCCCCATCTTTACAAAAATGTAAGAAATTAGCCAGATGTGTTCACATCTGTAGTCCCAGCTACTTGGGAAGCTGAGGTGGAAGAATCCCTTCAGCCCAGGAGTCTGAGGCTGCAGTGAGCTATGATAGCGTCACTGTACTCCAGCCTGGGGGACAGAGTGAGACCCTGCCTTAAAAAAAGAGAAAAGAAAAAAACTTGGGTGAGCTGAATACATCTCTCAAGATCTTTCTTCTTTTTTTCTCGCATGAAATGAGGAGGTAGTGGTACTGACAATGAGGACCCAAACCAACTGTGGAATCTACCTAGCATGCTTGCTTTTGATTGGATATACCAGGACAATTACAGAGGAGGTGACTCAGTGCATGCAAGTGCCATACTCTAGCACCGAACCTTTGGTGAGAACCGAACTAAACGATGTGTAATAACTTTTGAATACTACTGTACTTCAGTATTTCGTCAGGTTCTTGAAGGCATGAAACGTTTTCTACTTCTTACATGCAGATGTTCAATACATTTGTGATTCTGCTAACTGAACAAAACCAACCAGTGTTAAGAAAACAGAAATCATTAGGTAGAGCTTTAATTTTGGGTCAAAAGACTGAAATTTAAATTGTGCCTGTTCTATGTTAATTAAATAATGTATATTATTGTTTTCATAGAGAAGTACATCAGCCAAGTAATGATCTTTTTAAAAAGAAATCATGATACCAAGAAATATAAAATAGAAACATAACATTTAGGAAAATGACATCATTCTCTGGTTACAGCTGATGTGTCAGGTCTGGGCTATGTCCAGCACTGGGCTCCATTTTATAAATGAGATGTGGGGAACTTGGAAGGAGTTCAAAGGAAAGCCACACATGAAATGAAAGGCTCTCACGCCGAAATGCCCTATCAGGTGTGGAGACCGGGGAGGGAATGAGACCCCAATGACTGCAGAGGGGCAGGATGGGGTGCCCCCAACACAGGCTGCACAGCAGACCAGCACAGGATGGGGGAGCCGGGGCTGTAGGTCTCAGCAGGGGGTCTCATTTGCCATCTGTCTCAGATACCCCTTTACCTTTCCCGTGCTTGATCACTGTGACTAAGAAAGGACCCTGAGGCCTGTGTTTGCCGTGGCTGATACCCGGCCCCTTCTCCAGGACATGGCCCGTGCTCTGTCCACACCCTGGCCCTGCAGCGAGGCTGTGTGGCACTTGCTCATGCTCTGATCCCACAGAGAGATGCCATCCTACTGCCCCCATCAGCACCAAGATATGTTACTATCTCTCACCATCCTGGAGTCAGGTGCATTAGAGGCAAGCTGACCCGAGAAGCTACAATTTATAGAAGAAACTTCTCATTTAGTAAGCTTTCCAGGAACAAATAAGAAACAACAGGAACTGTTTCCTCTATTGACATTTACTTGGTGCCACCGCAGGGTGGGATGTGAAGCTGGCACTGGGGTGGGGCATGCAACAAATCAGCCGACATCGTGGCTGCCCTTGTTGAAAACCAGACTCACCGCCAAGTCAGGCAGAGCCTCCAGTGAAGGGATGTTTCAGGAAGCCTGGGAGGCTAAGGGAAGGGCTGGTGAAAAAAGACATCCTGGGTGGCTCAAACACTGGCTGCAGAGCCCTGATGTGGAAGGAGCCTGGGAGCTGAGCAGAGGTTGGCTGGGGAATGGGCGGGCCTGGAGGTGGGCCTGCCACTGGATGCTGTCCTCCTCCAGCTGCTGCTCCAGGGGGCTTTCCCTCCCCTGATGCATAGTGGGAATCTCCAAATCTTCAACCAAGGTGCACAGATCTCAGGCTTTCTACAGACGAATGACATCATTCCTGCCCCACCCTCTCTCACTGAGACTCCCTGGGAAGAACGAGGTGATGCACAGGTGGAAGGGAAAAGCTGGCGTGAGGGTTGATACAGAGTGTCAACTTGATTGAAGGATGCAAAGTATCGCTCCTGGTGTATCCGTGAGGGTGCTGCCAAAAGAGACTAACGTTTGAGACAGTGGACTGGGAGATGCAGACCCACCCTCGGCCTGGGTGGGCACCATCTATCAGCTGCCAGCATGGCTAGAAAAAAGCAGGCAGAGGGATGTGGAAGGACTAGCCTGGCTGAGTCTTCCGGCCTCATCTTTATCCCATGTTGGATGCTTCCTGCACTCAAACATTGGACTCCAAGTTCTTCCGCTTCTGGACTCTTGGGCCTACGTCAGCGGTTGGCCAGGGGCTCCTGGGCCTTCAGCCGCAGACTGAAAGCGGCGCTGTCGACCTCCCTACGTTTGAGATTTTGGAACTTGGACTGGCTTCCTTGCTCCTTATCTTGCAGATGGCCTATTGTGGGACTTCACCTTGTGATCGTGTGAGTCCAATCTCCTAATCAGCTCCCCTCCATGTGTTCATCTGAGTCCTGTCCTTCTAGAGAGCCTTCACTAATACAGTTGGTTCGGATGGAACCAATTCATCCACATTTCTGGGAAACTAGACCTTTCAGTAGAAACAGGAACAATGGAGGGACCCAGGGTGTGGCGCTGGGGAGCCTGGTGGCTCCGGAGGAAGGCAGGGAGGATAGCCCAGCCGGCCCACGCATACAGTGCATGAGAAGGTCCACCAGCACGTGACACACAGGCTTGGAGAAACCCCTCCACACAAGCTGGGTCCTGTCAGAGGCGACGACGGGGTGGGGAGCATCGAGTGGGGAAGTGGAAAAGGACAGCGCCACCCACATGCAACACACAAGGACAATGTCACCCACACGCAACGCACAAGGACGATGTCACCCACACGCAACTTACCTATAAAATATATTATTTATCTGTTTTCTGATGTAAGCTCTCAAGCCTAGGAACTTCCCGTAGATTCTGTGAAGGGTGGTTTTAAGAAAATCTCTCTCCCGAGGATCCTCACTGTCAAAGAGCTCTAAAAGCTTAGAGAAGGAACAGACACTTAGTGGCTGCGCGTCAGCACTCCGTTAGGGCTTTGACGGGGCCTGCTAATTTGCACCTTACCTGCAGTACAAACTTCTGATCAATATATTTCTTCGCTATATTAGGTTGGAAATCTGGAGACTCTAAAAATCTTAAGAAAAATTCATAAACAAGCTAGGAGGAAAAAAAACAACAATGAGTCAAATAACATGAGACTGTATTGAATGGAGATTAACATATACTAGCAGTTGAATCTTTATTTGCCTGCAAATATTAGCCTCTTAAAGCCACATATCTACATAATCAATGCAAAATTACACAGCTTAATTTAATTATAAATGGTGATGGCAATTATTTTATTTGGTGAGACACACAGACTATATCCTTAAATGCATTTAAACAAAACAACGTCCATGGCTGATGTCAGAGTGTTATAGTACACTGTTCAGAGACTACAGGGCACAGATGCCACAGAACAGGCCAACCCAACTCTGCGGGGGGCAGATTTGCAGCCTGTAGCCTAGGAGTGTCCCACAGTGCAGAGGCGCAGAGCCAACCAAATGCACAGGAACTCTGGGGCTGCCAGGTAAGAGCGCCCTAAGATGCAAACTCTGAACTGTGACCTGAAGCTGGGATGTGCTGGGTGGGACAGTGTGGCCTGCCTGTCACGGAGGGATGGCCCTCCCACCTGCATGCCTGGCTCCTGCTTTGCTCATGCTGGCCTTGGTGCCTCCTTGCCAACACCCTTCTGCCTTACAAACACCCTGGGGAAAGGCAGTAACCAGCACAGGAACCTGGGTTCCCCGCAGGCACACATTAAATATGAATACCAGAAACTGGGAGATGGTCGGCTTAAGACCTCTGGGCCTGAATTCAACAGCCATCAACAAAGTGGCCATTTTCACTGAGAACATACTGACAATTTCGCAGCTTCACTGGCTGTGTAAAGTGGTCACACACACACACATTAACTTTTCTCTATTCTGCTGAAATACTTTCCTCGTATGTATGGGTCTGCAAGGACCATGCCACTGAGGAGGAGAGGTCCATCTGCCAGAACCAGTGTGCCTGCTCTGTGAACCCCAGGCCACTCCCACACATCACTGGTGCCCTCTGATTCTGGTCACCCCAGGGCCCAATACCTGTAGATGAGGCCAGGCTGCTTCTAACGTCGGCTCGTCTTCCTCTGGGTCAAATTCCGCTCCCGTAGGGTTCGACGAAGGCGGCAACGTTCTGAACATGTTAACTGCAAACTGAAACCCGCACGTTCCATAATCACAACCAGGGCACTCAGAACACGTACAGAGAACACTGAAAAACGTCCTAAGTCATCCTAACGGTAGCCGCTTCCCATGGTAACTTAGCTCCTCCTTATCCTCAAAATCCAGAAGCCGTGTGGGTCCCCAAAGACAGCCTGGATCAAAACTGCAGCAGGAAACACTGCTTTGGGCAGGTGACCACGAAAGCTGACCACCAAAGTTATTTGCACTCTTAACCGTCAAACTTTAAATGACGAGCAACACCAACAAAGGCTGATGGCACAGTGATGGCTTCTGAGGTCTGACACTATCCAGAGGGTGCGAGAGCAAGGACAGCGTCAAAATGAGAGTACAAAAAGGATGACACGACGAAGGCTCCAGCAGAGTCACAGCTGAAAATGCCCACGAGCGGCAAGTGCTGCCTCACGCTGGGAGGACCCGAGACGACGGCACCGATAAGCTGCAGTCAGCAACGACCAGGAAAGCAACAGTCAGGGCGGGATGACTTCTGGGTGGCTAGGATCATTTCTACGAAAGGACTGCTCAGGGGCAGACAGGACTGCTGGAGGGCAGCCTGGCTGTGCGTCCCAGCGTGGGCTGCTAGATTCCTCTCAGTCTGTTTGGACTTGTATTACACACACTGACAGATCAGTGACATAAATAGAAAAGATTAGTGTTTCCATGTCATAAATTATAACCTATTTTTCTTTTGTACCGAGTCTGTTTGTTTATTCTTGAGACAGCGTCTCCCTCTGTGGCCCAGGCTGGAGTGGAGCAGTGCGCACTCGGCTCATTGCAACCTTTGCCTCCCGGGTTCAAGCGATTCTCCCGCCTCAGCCTCCTGAGTTACAGGTGTGCACCATCATGCCTGCCTAATTTTTATATTTTTAGTAGAGACAGGAGTTGCTATGTTGGTCAGGCTGGTCTCAAACTCCTGACCTCAGGTGATCCCCTGCTCCTCAGCCTCCCCAGGTGCTGGGATTCCAGGTGTGAGCCACCACACCATCTTTTGTACTAAGTCTAAATAGGATTGGTTACCTTACATGCCAGTTATATAACTGGGCTCTGGTTCATGGCTCTTACTGGTGATCACAAAAAGCCCCAGTCCCACCACTCTCAAAAGAACATAATCAAAACTTTTGACACAAAAGATTAAAATCTGACTTCACAACAACGAGAAGATGTTTCTAGCGAGTCCAGGGCAAACTTGGCTGGCTTTAGATAACCAGTCTTGTAAAGATCAAGCAATTCTAAATGTTACCCCCTACCGCCACTTTTTGAGATGGAGTCTTGCCCTGTCACCAGGCAGGATCTTGGCTCGCTGCAACCTTCATCTCCCAGGTTTAAGCAATTCTTCTGCTTCAGTCTTCTGAGTAGCTGAGACTACAGGTGCACGCCACCACGCCTGGCTAATTTTTTTATTTTTAGTAGAGACGGGTTTCACCACGTTGGCCAGGATGGTCTTGATGTCTTAACCTCGTGATGCGCCCACCTTGGCCTCCCAGAGTGCTGGGATTACAGGTGTGAGCCACTGTGCCTGGCCTCTTTTTTCCTCTTAAAGACAGGAAGTTGCTCTGTTGTCCAGGCTGGAGTGCAGTGGCCACCACAGCTCACTGCAGCCTCCAACTCCTGGGCTCAAGCAATCTTCCTGCCTCAGCCTCCCAAGTAGCTGGGACTACCAGTGCACCCTACCACTTTCTGTTAATTTTATTTACTTTTTGCAGAAACAAGAAATTGCTATGTTGCCCAGGCTAGTTTCGAACTCCTGGGCTTACGCAATCCTCTGGCCCCGGACTCCCAAAGTGTTGGAATTACAGGCGTGAGCCACTACACTTGCCCATTTCTTCCTTTCTTTACTGTTACTGACACTGAACTCCAAACCTTAATATCATTTTTCAGAAAGTCCTCGGCTATAAAAGTGCTGAGCATCAGATGCTTGTTTTCTGTGTCATCTGAGAGGGGAGTGAACGTTAAGGATCAACTGTAATGGCCTTCAAGGATAGTGCAGAAATGCAGGGACGAAAAAAGGGGCTGAAAAGCCAGAAACAACTAATTAAAAAAAAAAAAAAACTTCCAGTAAAAGTATGAGTAATGTTCCTAAGACACAGGTACAAAGGAAACAGTCTGCAGCGTAACCGAGAGCTAACCCGGCTCTCACTGGTGTATGACTTCTGGCAAGTTCTTTCTTTCTTTCTTTTTTTTTTTTTTTTTTTGAGATGGAGTTTCACTCTTGTTACCCAGGCTGGAGTGCAATGGCATGATCTCGGCTCACCGCAACCTCCACCTTCTGGGTTCAAGCAATTCTCCTGCCTCAGCCTCCCGAGTAGCTGGGACTACAGGCGCGCACCACCATGCCCAGCTAAGTTTTTGTATTTTTAGTAGAGATGGGGTTTCACCATGTTGACCAGGATGGTCTCGATCTCTTGACCTCGTGATCCATCCGCCTCAGCCTCTCAAAGTGCTGGGATTATAGGTATGAGCCACCGTGCCCGGCCGATTTCTGGCAATTTCTACTCTCCAGGGATTGTCCTCTCCTCTGTGACGCTGGTGTGTGTACAGGGCACTGCAAGGGAACCCCAAAGAACAGTGGTTGACAGGTAGATGGCCCTGCCTCAGTTGCTGGCCCAAGGGCACTCAGTACAGACACAGGATAAGTCTGCCCCTCCTGGTGCCCTGACCCCAAAGCCCACAGATGTGAACAAGGAGATTCGAAGAGCTCAAATACCAAGGATAGGCCACACACACTTTGGGTGGCTGCTGTCTCCCAGGGTATGTGGAGAAGCAACAGAACTGGTCCTGTCATCAGCAGCCACTGCCCAAGCTCTCCATATCTTCTAGGGCCATGAAGGGCAGAGAGAGGAAAGTCTGAATTGAGTCTTTAGCCCCTACGGGGAGTGTGGCATTTGTGAACTGGGGTTTTCTATGCTCTCTCAAAGCCAAAAGATTGGGGTCAGGGCCCAGTCACCCACAGACCAGGGTCAGCTTGAGGAAAGGGAGAGAGAACTTGGGTCTTTGGTTAGTTAGAGCTCTGGGCCCTGCCTGGTGCCGACAGGAGCAGAGCACCATGTGCGGCGGGCAGAGCCTGGGCAGGGAATCTGGCTGGCAGAGGGGTCTGTGAACAGGACTATGCCTGGCAGGAGACTGTGGGAACAGCCTGTGATACCAGGCCCTGAGGAACCATGGAGCCTGGAAGGAGAGCGGGGCCACTGCCTCTGAGGTTTCCAGGGCTGCCCATCAGGGACAGAGAGGCCAGAGCAGGAGCTACAGGGCCATCCAGGAAGCTGCCAAGGGAGAGTGAGGTCAGCGCAGCCAGAGAGGAGGCTGTCGGTCTCAGGGGAGAGGAAACAGCTGCCTCTCTGGGAGAAGCCCGCTGCCCGTGAGTCACAGACACGCAGCAGAGGAAGAGACTACCACGCTGGCCGAGGCCACAGGGAGCAAAGCAGAAGAACAGGCAGCTGCCCTTCCCCTCTGCTCTGGGTTCTGCTCAAAGCCCCAGAAGAGGGAAGACAAGAGGGACTCAGAGCCAACCCTGCTTCCCCTCCTCTCCCACGGCAGGGCCGTCTACCTGTCCCACGGCATGTCCCACGCTGGCCAGGATGCCTGGGGTGTGGCTTAGATGCCATTTGGAGAGGGTCTGAAATTTAAAGCTTTAACCTAGATGGGATTTCTGTAACCGGGGATGACTAAAAAGTTACCCAACTTTCCCAAGATGTATTTAGGGTCAGGACAGTGTGATGTCACCAGCCATAGTCAAAGGCGAGAGCTGAAAAAAGTAGAATGTCCCCACTGTGCCAGCTGGCCGGACGTGTCAACCTGGCTGGGCACAGTGTCCAGCTGTGCAAACCCTGCTGTGAGTGTGGCTGTAGAGGCATTTTATAGATGTGGTTAACTCCGAGAATCAACGGACTTTAAGTAGTGATCACCCTTGAGAAGGTGGGGGCCTCGTCCAGTCAACTGAGAGGCTCGTGACACCCAAACTGTGGCATCTCCGAGGAGAGTCCCCCACAGCCTAGTCTCCTGCCCGCTGCTTGTCCCGGGAGTCCAGACCCGCCTGCTGGACTCATCCACGTAGAAGGTTAAGTCCCTGAGATCGCAATCTCTGTCTCTCCTGCTGTTTGTCTGACAGCCCTGACTGAGGCACCCAGTCAGCTGAGATTCCTAAGGAAACTGGTGGTTTCTACTGGTGGCAGAAAAGCTAGTGATGAGGGTTTGCAGTGGAAGCTCTCCCGTGCAGTGACAGCCCAGCAGCCAGGCCCCACCTCAAACACCTGCAACTCACTGAATCCTTGATGCTGAGCTGACAGCCTGCAAAGTGACTCAGACGGCCTGCTCTGAACACCACGTCCTCTCGTCAGTATCTGCCAGGGACTCAATGGTTGTGCTCCCCCTTCCTTAAATTCATATGTTAAAGACCTAAATCCTGGCATGGCTGTATGTGGAGATGGGGCCTCAAAGAAAATAATTAAGGGTAAATGAAGTCCTAAGGGTGGGGCCCTGACCCTCCGGAATCAGTGTCTTTGTAAGAAGGGACAGTAGAAGGCTCGTACTCACCTTCTCTGCACTTGCTTAGAGCAAAGGCCATGGGAGGGCACAGTGGCTGTCTGCAAGCCCAGAAGAGGCCCTCAGCAGGGAATAAATCCTGCTGGAACCTCTAACTTAGACTTTCCAGCCTCCAGAATGGAGAGAAGATACACTTCTGTGGTTTAAGCCACCAGGTCTGTGTATTTTGTTAGGGCAGCCTGAGCAGACTGATGCAGCGCCCTTGACTGATGGCTGACCTAGGCCCAGGAAGGCTCTTTCCAGGCCAGTGCTGATGGACTCAAAGGCATTCTCACGTGTAAGAAAAGCTCCTGCATGCCTAACTTCTACACACCTTTCTCACCACGTTATACTACATTAATTTAGTGCACATCTCTAGAAAAGGTTAAATAGAAAGTAATATTTGGGGGGGGAAAAGGAACAGAAGGCAAACAGCGTGACACCTCAAATTATTC